GAAGCAACAAGTCATAATACTAACGTAGTAAACATTGTAAAGTAAGATACTTTGTACGTTGATAATAATAGTAGACTCTCACGCAAGCCACGTGTTAAAATCTATCGTAAATAAATGGAAAAGCATAGAAGATGATATAATCATTGGAACTGGTATGTACATCACCATTTCTTAAGCAAACTTTTATGAAAAATGTTGAACGTAGTACCAAGCGTTGAGTAGAGTACTACTTATAATTTCGGTAATGATTCGCATGGTTATCTTTTATTTGATTGACTTGTTAGTAACAATTTTGTAAGGTGACGATAAAGGAATTTGCTTATTCAGTTAATAATCGCATCTTTTATGTAACAGCGAAGCGAAAGTGAAATAAGTATTTAACGGATTGAGTAATTACGTTACTGGCTTCCGTTCGATTCTTTTTGATAAACAAAGTAAGTATAGATGCGTAGTTTTGATACTTATAGAATCATCTGATAAAATAAAATGGAGATGGAAAAATGGCGTTTTTAGTTTACTTATTAAGTTAGTTTCATGCAATAGAACTGTACTTAGAGAACGAAATATTATTTAGTCTTCCATGATTGTTTGCATACCGAAAAGTACAAATGTTATCATTTTTAATACAACGTTTATGCAGGCAGTGGAAATTCGCAAATTTCACTTTCATCATTTAGCATCTTGTTTAAAATCCTTCGACCTGTTTGTTAAACTTGCTTATTAAACATCATTATTCACTTTCAACCTGTTGACATTTTTGTAGTCTCGAATTGATATAAACTGACCAGTAACGTATTGCGACGACTTAATTTGATTTGAAATTGATTCCTCATTTCGAGAACATAGAAAAATATCTATAGTCGTCCAGCCGAATTCATTTACGATCGGGTAAGCTAAAAAGAAAGGGCAGAAGTGGGCAACGAAGAACGTTCTTCTTACGGAACTGTAAATTCCAATTCGAAGCGGTGGGCCGATTCAAAGAAAAACCCGGCCCCGAAGAATAATTGATTTCTGATCCACTGTTGAGCGGAAGAGGTCGCGTAACCGGCTGCACGTAATTATAGTTCAGCATAGAGCCAGCAGCGTCCAGTTTCTCGAAAGGAAGGCGTTCTCTGTCTAGGAAGTTCTGTTTCGCGCGCTCTCGACATGACGCGATGAGAGGAAAGGAGTGAAACTCTCGCGACGAAACGATGTGTGAGGTCTCTCCTATATCCACGTGTGCTCGCCGCCGAAACCGACGCGACGCGACGCTTTGTTTCGGATTAAAGAACCGCCTAAATCCGTATTGCGTTACGCCATGGAGGCACGTATAATCACTCGGTAACGTAAAACCAAATTAGCGCGGATTCTGACCATTCTCCTTTGCCTGTCACACGGCTATCGTCGTTGGATGCCTTCTGTATACAACTGCTATTTTATTATGCTACCTACACCGTCCTCTTTTATTAATTCCATCCTTTCCGTTATGTATACACAATAAAAATGTGAAATCATTGTTTATTCAAGTGAAAGTACAAGTTGAAAAGGAATTGATTTTTTCGTAAAATGCATTGAACATTGGAAATTGATCACCGTCTGTTTCTCCATTAGGCTACTTCTTATAAATCTTATACCGTTTCATTGTACTCAGTTAATCGATGTTGCGTAATTTATAAGTCGATGTACTTCATGAACATCTTGTTTTATTAATATCTTGGAAGAAGCATATAATACTTATACATCGTCGTGTGATGCTTTGAAGTTTGTGTATTATAACACTTTTCTTAAGACAGTAT